TATATATATATATATGTCAATCAATTAGTAAAATTTGAAAAATAGATATAAAAATACCTTCAATTTAAAAACTTCATTATCTTGTTCAGCTCGAGTCTTTTGTTCTAATAGAACGTCTTCTGCACTTTTTAATTGTTGTTTAAAGTGTCCAATAGCTAAATTCTGGCTTTCTAATTGTTTCTAAAGTTTATAAATTAAATTTATGAGTCTTATATTTTTTAGTACTATAAACATTTTATTTTTTGTCCACTGTGTAAAACAATTAAAATGTAAAAAAAGAGTTAGAGAACATAAAAAATATTATTATTAAAAATAAAAATAAAATTTGAATGAAATTTTTATGACTACATATTTTGGCATCATAAATTCAAAAAAAAATTGTTCAGCCATGGTCGACTTAAAAGTTTTTTAAATAAAACTTATTTAAAAGCATATGTGAACTACATTCTCATTAAATTTAAAATGTTCTTTTTTTACTGCAAAATAAAAACAGCTAGTGATATATTTGGCATATATAAAACAATCCCATGTTTTGCTCATACTATAAATCTTATAGCTAATAACGCATTAGTGATTGTATTAATTTAAATCAATTGAATGACAAAATTAGAAATATTGTAAAATTTAAAAATAGTGTCAATTCTTATGATGAATTAAGAAGTATCCAAAAAAATTATGGTAAAAAATAATATGTAATGTTCACTATTTTAAAATATTGCATTTCAAGTTTATCAAAAGGAAAAGTTTTAAAATTAATATTGGACATCGAGACACGTTGGAATAGTCTATATTATATGATGGATAGATTTTTACATTTGTATCATGTTGTTTTTTCTATTTTATTAGAAAGGCCAAATTCACCTGATTTAATAATAACTAGAGAAATATTGATTGTCAAAGAAGTTAAAAATTTGATGCAACCACTTGAAGACATGACACAAAAAGTCTCTGGCTAAAAATATACCACAATTAGTACAATTTTACCATTGATAAATTGTATCAATAGTGCGGTGAATAATTGTCAAACTACATCTTTAATTGGTATTGAATTAAAAAAGTATATATTATTTTAACTTGACAAGCGTTTAAAGAATCTAGAAATATTTAATGACTTTCCTCTAGCTACATTAATTCAAAAACATGAAGTCCTTATATCCAAATTTATATTACATTGCTCTTCAAAAATTAAGTATTGACGATACCTCTGTTCTATCAGAACGCTTATTTTTTTTTAAAAACTGGTCAAACAATATCTAAAGTAAGAAACAGATTGACGGGAAAACATTTATCTAAGCTTGTCTTCATGAGTTAATTAAGTAAAGTAGATTAGTTTTCAAAAGTCTTATAATATTATAAAAAAATTTATATATGGTTTTATTTTTTAAAAGTCTTAAATATTTTTTATTTTGATTAATTTTTTAAAATAAAGTGTCTACTTATTTCAGTTTACATATTAATTTTTTTTAATTTAAATAATTCTACTTTAATTATTTGAAATTAAATTATAAAGTACAAGTCATATTAGGCTCCAATAATAGATTATATAAATTTAAGTTATGAGGTTATATACAAAAATTAAACCCTTTATAGCATGTATAATTCGAGAAATAGAAGGATGTAAAAACTTATCATTATTGTTAATTTACGAATAAATATCAAATTCAAATAAAATTGGGTGATACCCAGACTTAAAAATCCTGTAAAAATTGCACATTGAAACTGTGTTTTAAATGGTTTACCAATTTTTTATTATTGTTTAAATTACTATTATTAAAAAAAAATGATTTCGAATTTTACTACCCAACATGTAATAATGGTGTTTGTGATACAGGATTAAAATAGTTTTTCTTTAAATATTGATATTTTAGCTTCGATGCGAAGCTAAGAAGGTATTGGTTTTACTAAGATGTGTTTTTTTTTTTTGTGTCTGTTACCACTTTTTCTCAGCTCTCACCGAACCGATTTCTTTCAATGATATGTCAAAAGATCACAAATCATATCTAGTCGAAGATATTACCCTCAAAAATTGAAAAAAATTCCCTCATTCCCTGTAAATGGGGGTAACATCCGAAAAAATTACAAATTTAAAAATGGCTAATTTTCGAAATTTTTTCAATTTTTTTTACTAAAAACTGCCGTAACTTTTAGCTTCGATGCGAAGCTGAGAAGGTATTGGTTTTACTAAGATGTGTTTTTTTTTGTGTCTGTTACCACTTTTTATCTGCCCACAGAAGGGAATTTAAAATGACAACTTTTTCACAAGAAATTAATTTTTTCAACTTAACTTTCGAAAGTGTTCCGGAAGGTCTGACACTTTTATATATATCTTAAATTAAAGTTAATGTAATATACTTTATTATGAAAAAAAAAAATTTCGGACTTTATTTTGTCTTCGTTGTGAAAATGGCTACCAAATGCTATTATTTTGTGAAAATTCTCAATTTTATTTTTTACATTTTTAACTTTATAATAATGTATACAATTTATTTATGAGAAATAATATTTTTTAATAATCTCTTTTTCATTCGACATACTTTATCTTAATTAGGATATTAATAAGGAACTAGCAGTTTATGAAGCTTTTGGAATAATCCACAAATTTTTTAAAATTAAACACTATCTAAAGATTTGCATCGAAGCGTTTTTTTTTGATAGTGATTTTAATCACTGCAGATATCATTATACTTATTCCAACTATGCCACGTCACCACTGTGCCGCGACCCCCCTGAGCTGGGTTTTTTTTTGTTAGGTATACAGATGTCTTAATATCAAACCGAGCTCTATAAATCATTATAGAAAAGCTATAAACAAAATATCGATCCTATATAATATCGATATTGTGTCAATATTTGCCATCCCTATATGTAGTGAAGGTAGATGTTTACTGATGAACATTTTACCTGTTCTTTAGACTGAAAATCATGTATTTTATCTTCTAATATCTTTATTTGAGATATTTGACTTACAGTTTCAAGCTTAACAAATAAATAAATACTGTTAAGAAATACAGCTACATGATTTTTAATTAGACTTTTATTAGAAGGTTGAATTTTAAATAATTTACCAGTAAATTCATATTTTCTTCATTGAGTTTTACATTTTTTGACTCAAAGCTTTTTGTTGTATTTTGATAAGTGTTTACTTTTTCTACCAATTCCTGTATTGTATTGGTATGTGACTCAATATAATTTTTATCAGATATTTCATTTTTAACTAATGTATCTATTCTATTTTCTAAATTTTTTTGGACTTTTCTTAGAGCTTTAATTTGATTTTCCTTAAATTTAGTATAAATTTCCATTTTATTTAATAAAGCATTATTTTTTTCTAGTTCCATTTCAGCATGATTTAAAAATAATGTCATATCATTCTGAAAATATAATTACTTTAATTATAATTTTTAATTTTATTTGCAGTTTCAAGCTTAACAAATTAATAAATACTGTAAAAATACAGCTACATGATTTTTAATTACACTCTATTAGAACGTTTAATTTTAAATAATTTACCAGAATGTTCATATTTTCTTCAACAATTTTTACTTTTTTTGACTCAAAGCTTTTTATAGTATATATATAAATGTTTTCTTTTTCTACCATTTCGGATTCATAAGTTGAATGCATATTTTTAAGNCATGATTTTTAATTACACCTATATAATAAGGATAAATTTTAAATAATTTACCAGTAAGTTCACATTCTCTTCAAAGAGTTTTACATTTTTTGACTCAAATCTTTTTATAGTATTTTGATAAATGTTTACTTTTTCTATTATTTCGGATTCATAAGTTGAATGCATATTTTTAAGATGGTTTATGAAATCATTTGATTTAGTGATCTAAAGTTAATGTAAGTAATTAATGCAAGAAGATACAAATAACAATTTTTATTATAACACATTATTTTTATCTTCTATTGTTAATATATAATATGTTGAACATATTAGTAAAAAAATATTTATATACAAATTATAATAAAAGTATACATAATTTATAAATTGTAATACAATTCATTTATGAATAATTAAAAAAATATTAATATTCAATTATTGTACAAACTCCTAAAAATTATTGTAAAACCTTTTATTTATTTTAAAAAAACACTAACTTTTTGTAGCACCTCTTGTTGGGTATAATGTTCTTCTTGTATTGTATTGGTAAGTGTCTCAATATAATTTTTATCAGATATTTCTTTTTTAACTAATGTATCTATTCGATCTTCTAAAATTTTTTTGTCCTCTTTTAAGATATTACATTCATTTAAAAGTTCAATGTTGTTACTTTCTAAATACTTAATTTTTTTAGACTGTATTTTATTACATTCTTTAAAAGACCCTAATTTTTTTTCTAAAGATTTTTTCATATATTCTAATGGCTGAATTTCAGCTCTTAATTGTACCCCCACAGTTTCAAGTTCTTTAACCGTTTCTTGTTTTTTTTCAATGTCTGACAATGCATTAGACAATTTATTATCTAATAAATTTTCATTTCCTTTTAAGCTTTCAATATGTTTCTCTAATGAGGTCTTCTCTTTGTATAATAATTTAGTGTCTTTTTTCAAAGTTCTAATTTGATTTTCCTTAATTTTTGTATCTATTTCCATTTCTTTTATTACAGCATTTTTTTTTTCTAGCTCCATTTCAGTATGGGTTAAAAATAATTTTATATCATCCTGAAAATATAATTAGTTTAATTATAATTTTTATTATTAAAAAAATTTAATTCATATATTTATTGTTGTGTACATATTTATGTATTTTATCATCTAATATCTTTATGTGAGACATTTTACTTGCAGTTTCAAGCTCAAAAATGTAGTAATTACCAGAGGAAGTAATTAATTACGTCGATTTTAGTATAATATAAGCTTTATAATAATAGTAAGCAATTTTCAAACTCTTAAGCAATATAATAATTCCATATAAAAGGGAAATGCAGGGTAAGCAAATTAATAATGGTGGGAAAAAGAATATAAAAGGGAAACATGAAAAGTATAGGGGGACGCCTTTTGGACGTTTTGTCTAAGAAACGTCGAGTTACATGTTAGGAAATTGGACGATAGTGTCTTTGTACGATTTAATTTTGTTTTGTGTTACATTTTGATATTAACTTTATGTTTAATACGTTTCTTAAATAAAATAGCTACTTAAAAACCTGGACTTAGCGCAAATATTTTTTATTCACCGTGCTTTTAGAATAGTGTGTGTATGTTTGGCTAGAGATAAGGTCCTTNAAATATTTTTTATTCACCGTGCTTTTAGAATTGTGTATGTATGTTTGGCTAGAGTCAAGGTCCTTTAGTCAATCTTAATAATTAGTGGACGAGCTGGCTAGTTTTTGGGCTTAACTGTACTTTAGTGAGTATAGTAAAAAGGTAGTTGTGCTGGTGGCTGACAAGGAGCCATCCTTCAGTCTACTACATTTGAGCTAAACCGTGCTGACGGGTCTAAATTCTAGCCCTTTATTAGTTCACTAATTTGAGGGATT